ACCCTCGCCTCCGGGTTCCTGAACCATTCGAAGTCAAACGAGGGTGGGTTGAGCGTGACCTGGGTGAAGCGTTGTCCCCTTCTGGCTGATCGCCAACAGTTTCAGATTTGTGCGCTGTGGAATTAGGAATGACTCAACTCCAGACAGCATTGATCATTTGTAAGAGACTTTCTGTCAGGTTGATGACAATTGTGATAAGATTATAATGAAACTCTATTGGCTGAAGAACCCTGTTACAACAAGTATTACAATACAGTTATTGTTCTCGCAAAAAGGAATCAAAGTAAAAACATGCATTTTACATAACTCGTTTAACAAGATAGTTGTCTTGAAAGAAGGGATTGTAATTCAACAATAGAGTGGTGTTATATTGTCTCTGGGGAATCACTTGTTTGATAAGTGATATATTAATAACCAATTTCATTTTTAATAAACTTGTTTAAAATGAGTAAAATGTGTGACAAAAATGGGAAACTTGTTTCAGAATCACTTCATCTTAACATATTACTATATTAAGTGAACCCAATTTTCTGTCATAATATTGGTCAAATTCGTAATTATGAAGTCCTATTTCGCAAGTTAAGAAATTTTCTTCAAAGATGAATCGGCAATCATACGATTTACCGTGATTTGATCACCTTTCAGAATTAACTGAAGTTAAATGATTTGACTTGCTAGCAATGTAAATATCTATCAGTATTTTCACGATAGCTCTTACCACGACAATTCTATTGCCCTAGTTAATATTTCTATATGCTCTTCTTTAAACCTTTTTCCAATATACGATATCTCGGACACTTTGGTAAAAAGCTGCTCAATCGGCTTTTTAAACATTTCAGTTACATTGAATCTTGTGCACAATAATCTGAAGATAATTTTTAATTATGATTTTGCCCAATGTTGCTTAGACTAGGTTTGCTTATCTACTTCAATTGCTAGGACTCAGAAGGCTTACAAAATCGTGTCCTGTTTACAAACATGACATTTTATTATTTTCTGTTCGTGTGAAGGAGCAATAAACATATGCTCACCTGTTTGGTGAGATTGATCGATTCAATTAAGGCAACATTCTCTGGTTCTAGTTCACCAACTAGTCTAAATATAAGAAATAGATAACGCTGCACAACTACTTCAAGGCCACCATTTGTCTTCCTACGCGTATTCGAAAGAAGATATAGTGCACGTTTAACGCGTAGCATGAAAGTTGCACTCATTTCCTTTGCGCAGAATAGCGTACGATAGTATAATATGAAAAGCACAATAATGATAAGGCACTCTACGAAAACACGAATACTGTTTATAATTATCAAAATTATTGTTATTCACTTATTATTGACTATCCCATTAGGGCATCCACAAGCATTAAAGCCAACTTGTAAAATCCAAATGTTCTTTCGCATGAAAATATGAAAAATCGTATATGTACAGACCATTTAGGTGATAGTCTAAATTTGGCAACTTTCCCCTTTCCGAGAATATCTCTGAGAGGTAAGGCGTAGTGTTTCGAAAAGTTAAAAAGTCTTCGGAATTTTAGAAAAGATCAACGAACCCTTTATATAAAAACGAATCGACCCCATTCAACGACGGACATAGCAGTAAATTAACAATTCATTGTGTGCCCCCACTACCTTACTCTTGGATCGAACAATGCAATCTTACTTCATTCTCATAGTGAAATGAAAACTTATTAATATGGGGTGGATTTTAATAAAATGTCATTTTCTCTTTTCACTTTAAAACAATGTCGTTTAGTATAGAAATTCATTTTATGTTATAACAAAACGAAACGACCTATTTTTATGCCATTTTTTGCATTTTTCGTCGATTTCGACTAATAAGTCATTTTTTACTTTTTCGTCATTTTTAATGAATTTTAGTTGATTTCTTCATTTTAAGATAACTTTCATGGTACTTGCTTTGAACTATATTTACGAGACACAACAAATGTTCACCACAGAATTCTTGAGTAGACTTTTTGATTTCATCGCTCGTGTATTGTAATGCGAGCCATTTGAGTACTTCGTATGTAATTTAAGGTTCGTGTAACGCATATGGGCGCCATTGCCAGTTCGCCCGATTTCGCGATATATAAAGGCTGAGGTTTTCTTTTAAAGAACAGTCCAAACCCAAAGTTTGCAAGGTGAGTTCAATTGAACAAATAGAAAAAGCCTCGATTACATTACTAATATAGTCAACACTTTAAGTGGTTCATCTAAAGTGGTTTTTTAAAAAAATACGTCATTTTTCTTTTTAGGGCATTTTTAAAACATTTTAAGAGCATTTTATTGATAATTTTGGCAGTGTTTTAGGTCATCAAAATATGCCCCCTACTTATTACAATGCAAATGGAATACGCTAATGAAAGGGAAAGAACTCTGACTTGAATGGCGGTTCGTCGACTGCACAACCCTTAATAGAATTAGGAATGTGTTCCCTATGGTTATCATTTCTTTCGTTACGACATGACAAGCCTTTCGAAATCTCATTAACACAGTACATCAATGCATCATGTCATAGGATGATAATAAAGATGGCGAAATCCTGTTTCGCACTAGCTGACAACTTGTTTACCAGGCAAGCGTACCTGGAAGGGCCCTCCCTTCTGAGAAATACGAGCAAGAGTATAGTCACTGACAGATAAAAGTGAGAAATGCGACATTATGAGAAATATATGGTTAATAATACTGAAATGCATGTGCCATTCATTCTGTGAATCGGCCTAACATTTTTCTCCCGTCTCCAATGTGGCTAAAAGTTATTGTTTTCTTTAATGTGTGTTTTCATTTAAGAAGATACGTTTCGTTCAGCAAGTTATTGATTATATTGTGTATTGATAAATTGTTAATATTGATCACGATATTCGATTACTCATCTATTTTCCTTGTCCATGTCATAAAACATTAAAAAATGAAAATTATTAGAATATGGGTAATTTTCTTTCTGTACTATTTGGTGGATTATTTGTGAAATTTGTTAAAGAGTAAAAATGAAAAGTTGTCTTCGAAGGACCATAACGTTTGTAATCTTCAGAAAACGTGTTACTCATGATAATAATGTTTCAAACACAGATGTTAATGATTATTTTGAGCTTTGAAATAATGCAATTTTAAAAGCTTATTTTGGGTAACGAATTTTTAGAAAGAACATTATTAGGCTTTCAGTGAAAAACTTAAATGTTTAAATAAGTTTGTTTTTCTGTCATTTTTGGATGTAATGGAAACTGTCAATACAAATTCCACTCCTTAATCAAATGCAGTAAGTTTAACTTGAAACTTTATAGTAGATATTTAACATGATCATATATTTTGTTGAAGATACTTTGACTGATAATACGAAAATGACGCAACTGCTTAATACATGAAACTGTAATTAATGTACGTAAGAAATGAGGAGAAAAATGTTTCATTATATTGTATTCTTATATACGATTTAACTCAGCAGAGTAACGGACAGACACTCATTAAGTGGCGCACGAGTCTTATTTCTATTATTTTATCTGCTAAAAAGGTAGTATTATGAACAAAATTGAACTAAACCTGGCCACCATCGCCTCCCTGAGTCGCCTCCAGCCACGTCCACTATTTGCTTTGTATTGTCCTAATAGCGATAATAACTACTACCCTTCGTATCATATCTGCTTGTTTATATCAAGTACTACACCTGGTGTCTTTTTTCACTCTAAGCTTTCTGACAATTAGAAGTCGAATACATGAATATATACTGTAACATACTGGCTGTAAATAATTGATTTTATACAAGAATATATATTATAGGTTATTTTCAATAACATAAAATATATAATTTACTTATATTTATTAACATTAATATATATATATAATTTATTAATGTTAATAAATATATTTTACTAATATTAAATATTTCATATCAAGAATAACCTCCGCCATGCGTAGCCTTATTGTTGATTCATAATGCTTGAGAAATATTTATAAGAGATTGTGAAAGTTATTTCGAGATGAATCAAATATCAGACAAAAATTGACGGTACTAGACACACATTTTGACGTTCATAACAATATGTTCGAAATGAGAATGGGAAAATTACAGACTATACCTCATGTCAAACCGAGGCCATGTAGCAAAAAAATAAATAAATAAATAAAATATTTTTTTTAAACTCTAATAAAGTTTGCAAAATTTGTGAAAGTTGTTTGGCACCTGCTTAACTAGTGCAGAAAGACGTAACTAGAAGACCGAAATTATCCTGCAAATATTCAGGAAAATAGGTAACAAATTAATGGTCGTGGGGTCCAAAACGACCCCAGATATTGTACGAGGGTCACAGTAGCACCACTGTCGCCGTATAAGTCTCGTGAATTGGTTTCCAATTTTACGGGGCAATGACCGTACCATCCACGCGACACCGCCCCTCGGCAAGGTCGCCCTTTGAGAAAGGTTTGACACCGGTCGGGTCCGGCGGGGCGGGCGGCCCTCGGTGTTGGATGACGAGTGGAAACTTCCGAGGAGGGAGGGGGGATTACAGGCGAGTGATCCCCCCTCCCCTCCCCTCCCCTTCCCTACTCCCGGGCGCGCGCGCATCAATGGAATTTTCCTACGCGGGGCGGCGCGTGGTTGGTCCCCCTCCACCGCCCCTGGGCGCAGCCCTTCCGAGGGCGGAGCGGGGCAGCGAGGGCGCGTGCCGAGCGCGTGAATGGAAGGGCTTTCTCCGCCCTCGATGCGGGGCTCGAAATGGTCCCGCGGAAAAGTACCCGCACGGCGGGCGGGGGGGGGGGATCAAGCGAAATGATTTTGTTTTGCTGCAGTGACCGTTAATGCGCGCGGAGATGAGGTCAATAACCTGAATCAGAGGACGGCAGAGGAGCCCGCCTTTTGTGATCAAGGAAGGTCATTTCCAGTGGAAACATTCATCTGTCATTCATTCTACAATTAACTAGCCACTACAACTAGTGATGGAAACCAGTCGACTGAGCTATTTAGAACGCCGATACACACACATTCACTAGAAAATCAACGGAAGTGTGTAAAGGAAGATTCAAAATGGTCCTCGTGCCCAAGGGTGAGTGCTTTTGTTTTCCATGATGATAAACTTCGTCAAGAAATTTGAAATTTCAAAATTATCAAAGGAATTCAAACACTGATTACTGATGGAAAGTATTGTCTATATTAACGCCCTGATATTTAGGTGTCTAACGCACGGGAATGCAGACAGAATTATGAAACACTTTATGATATGTAGTCACAATGTTGTGAGTCAGTCACAATGTAAACCCCTTCTCTTTTGCCGTTTCGCTATGGTACGGACAATTTCCCGTTCGTAGCACATAACTGACGCACTCGGTATCGATTTTTCATCGTAGGGGGCGTATTTCTTTGTAGGTTGCGGAAACACGATTACAATTTCAAGAATAGGATATAACTTATGTCTTATTATCCGGTTGTCACTGTTACGCAGGAGGTGTGAAGGAAATTCTGATTCATCCCACTTGAAATAATTTCGAATCACACGTTCTTTGAAGTATTTTTGTCTAGTGTCCGGACTGGCACTACGTAGAACAAGAAACTGTTATATCTTTACTCTGAGAACACATTACGCGCTATTAACTTTTCATAATAGTTTTCAAACGACGGTCTATTGGACTGAGAGCGTATGGTATTTCCGCAGATTTATCCAAGTACGTGGAACCAGGCCTGTGGGTTCGAATCCCGCTTAAGGTACTTGGAATTAGGACACTTTGATAAGGGATATTCCTAATCACACTTGTACCATATCTAATACCTTGGTCTTTCCAAATCCCTTACCCTTACTGGTTACGTATGCGCTACGGAGTGCACATTAAGAAACTGGTACCCTAACACATGAAACAAATATAAGCGCCATATTCATCACACGGTCTACCTTACGCAGTTCTGAACTGGACCAAGATAGACTTGAGACATTCCGTTCCATTGTTATATATATATATATATATATATATATATATACAAGAGAATATTTTTGAAATTATATTACAAAAGGATATCATTCCATTAGCATTATCGTATACGCTACACATGACAAAATTAATCGTATCAAATGATAATTATCCTACAGGGTGAGAACACTGCGATGAACCGTTTATATCCAAATGATCCAAGCATTGCTCCACATACTTTAATTAGCGGCGTCCAAGCGATACATTCTCCAGCGACCTGTCATTCATCGCCTGGGTGCCGTGGCGCTGGTGTGCGTGGTTCGCGCGGCCACCGCTAGATCGCAGCACTAAAAAACGCTAGACCTGGTTGGAGAAATTTCTTAAAATCTTCTGGATGAATACGAAAACAGTTTCAGAGAATCAGTTTCCCACCACGAGACTGAGACGCGTCGAAAGACACCGAATTTGTCCCATTTGGTTGACGGGAGGATTCTAATCGTGGATTATGGACCGAGGCAATGACGGACGCAGTTTATTCAAAATACCAACATACATTTATATATAATATATTTATGTATTATATACTTATATACATTTATATGTATATATAAATGGATGTTGGTATATTGAGCGGGTATCGTTATACAAGTATTTATTGGTATATACGATCTGTGAACTCCGACATCGTGTGACCGATCTCCATGGAAGTTGGCACATCAACGTGTTTTTTCATCCAGAAGGTGAAAATGTGCTGTTATTTTTTTGTAACAACTTTAGATAGCGCTGTGGAACAATATACTAAATATTCACATCAAAAGCAACCCGCAACACTCGGCAGTATTTTTTTGAAACTATATCGTTAAATAACTTCTAAATAAAGCGGTTTAGGGCATTAGAAACTAAAATTGTTAGGCCAAAGGCCCCAAAGAAATGTTTCTCACGCCGCAATCCATAGGATGATATTTTCTTGAGCATTCGATTAAATTTTTGCTGATCCGACATTTTTTGATAATACCTCAGCTACTCAGAGACGCGCAGAATTCAGAGACGTGAAGCTTCAACTAAATGTAAATGAGAGGGACAGACAGACAGACAGGCAGACAGAGACACACACTGAGAAAAAGTCAGACAGGCTGAGACAGGGACGCAGAGAGACGAAAAGAGAGAGACGAAGAGAGAGAGGGAGAGTCGGAGAGAGCAAGGGAGACGGAAAGAGAAGGGGAAAATGAAGGGCAGAACGACGTCTTTCGGATTCCGTTACTACTATATAAGGATAAAGGGGGGAGAGGTGGCCTTGTTTACTTTTAGTTCGATGGTACACAAGCTTTAAGTTACCTCAATGTATTTGCTAGCTTATTATACGTAATGAACAATATACACTGTACGATTATGAGAAAATCATAGAGAATAGAATTCAAAGAAAACGTAACTATATAATTATATAGTAATATTTATTATTAAACATGTTACAGAGCATCTTCAGTAATACTTTTCTTTTGCATAAGTATCACCTTACCACCCACTGATATTTATGAGACACTTTCATTTTGTAGAACTAAAGTTACAGCAGAGTCAATAGCACGGGCTTAATTAATAAACATTGACTGAGCATAGTTGGGTAGTACGAAGAATATTTAAGGTGGAATTTGCTTAAACTTTGAAATTAATTTCTAGAACATTAATTGCATTTTCAGCACTTATTTGTACTGTGGACGAACTCACGAAACTAAATGCAGTTTCGTTATCATACATTTCTCATTTCACTTCATTGAACTTCAATTTTATTTTATACGCAACCTGAATTTTCCATTCTGCAAAAAATCTGTTGAATTGAAGATTTATAAATATATTTTTCTGACCCTCATTTACTTAAAAATGCACTTAATTTATTCTTGTCAAATTGTCTTGATATTGTCAAATGAATATGACTATTCCATTCGCGAAATTAAAAGTAAGAGTGTTTTACTATACATATTATGTGTTCCAATGATGTCGGAGTTTCTCAAAACAATTATTGCTTTTTCTATCAGATTTTCTTAGCGCTCCTCCCTACTGTCCAATAAGCTGCCACTCAACTATCCTAGGAGGCGGTATGTATCGATCACTGTCTTGACGTGCAATAAAGAGCGTATCTACTGCATCATAACCTTCTTGATATTAACATGCGTTCAGTGGTTGTTTTTTTAAATATTTGGCTTAAATATTTTGAAACTCTGGTGAATGTAATTGCCTTCGTGGCATACAGCTATTAAATACCATTCGTCCTTTGGAAAGTCTCAGATAAATACTTGCAACTCCCTTGCTTCGCGAATCGGGGATTTATCGACAATTTCTAAAGCACTTGTGGTATTATCTATGATAATTCAAACGTCAACCTCGTATCGTCAACAATATTTCCTAGATAAATGTATATTGGGAAATTACTGGAAGGTATGCACTTTTTCTTTACCTCGTGTACTAGCTGTCTTCAAATTTGAATGAGCCATAAGTCAGGAAGAACTCTAATGTTTGCGTTAATAATTGAAATATGCGAGTGAACTCTTCTCTACCTTTTGCTCTTCCTCTTCAACGCCTCTCCTTCTCTCTCTATCTCCCATTTGCAGAAACAGTCTCCTCAGAAAAATAAATCTTTACTTAAATGGCTTGTTATAAAAAATAATTATTTTGCGTGAAGCTTGATTATACATTTGCGAAACTACATTTCTATGAATAGATTTACGATTGTCCAATACTTTTTATGGGTCTTTTTTGTAATATTTTGGAACATATTGATGAACTAATAATGTTGTTTGGGAGGTTGTACCAGAATTACTTTCCTCGCATCAGCATCATGCCTTTGTGCAAAATATAGGGTGGATAAATGAAGAATATAAAGTTTGTGGCTTTTGACGTAAAGACGTTGAAATATCAGAATGAGTATATCATAGAGTGGGAGTACTTTAAACACAACAGCCTTTGCCCAATAAATAAGGTACTAACGGTTTGATTCTGCGGTATTTGTGATGCTTAATAGCCAGGTAACATGGTTATCTGAAGATCAGTGTAATCATCTTGAAAGATCGTTAATTGGTATATTAAATAGACGTTGTCCTTGATGCGATGTTTCTGCTATTCGTAATGTGTATTCAGTTAGGTTTATACATATGAATATGCTCTATTTATTTCAAGAAAGATATTGTATCAGTTGGGGAAATATTTTGTTGCAACATGTGGTATTTTATCTGCTGAGGAAACAGGATGCTTAAAAACGCAACTTGTTCGAACAAGTTTCGAAATGTATGGATAAGTTCATTTGCCTCTACCAACAAGACTCGTGCGACATGTGAGTATGTACTTACGAATATCTCCTTTTCATACTTATATTTTCATTATAAATACAATGTAAAATAATGTTTGCATGTACATAAAATTCCAATGCCGTTACGTTCAACTGAACTTTGATGCATTGAAGTGTTCAGTTGTTGAGAATTTATTCAACATTATGAAAAGTCTTTCCAGTTGTTCCATTCGCTTTAACCAAAATGCATATCATTTCACGCGTGTTAAGATCCTACGTACGGATTGCGTACGTAAGTCATCTCCTAACCTATGGTATTCTTCGCATTGCATTCTCAACTCTAGAACCTGAGTCACAGGCTACCTAATTCATAATTACACGAGTCACAGGCTACAACAGAGATTTCATGGTGTTGGATCATCAGTAAGCGGATAAAGCGACAGCATTGAATGGTAAAGTTGTAAATAATCTTTCTAAAGACGTTCTAAAGCATTGAGTACTTGCTGGCCAGTCACTTTATCAGAATTACACAAGCAAGAAATTCGTATGTGCAGAAAACTTGTTTCATTAAGTTAACACAGAAATGGGCTAACTCAAACGCTGCGTTTTCCACTCGAGTTGACTCAGGGCAACAATTGAAGACATTGCTGGGACTAAATCAGGGAGATCCTAAAATTCGATTCCCACGGTGGCAAATTTCGAAACTCGATATTATGTAGGAACTAAATTTAATCACTGAATTTAACCGATGCTTGGAGTAGAGTTCTAACGGCCGGCTGTTCTGATCGGTAGTTTTTTTGGTTTCAACGATCAAGGCCAGAAACATGCCGCAGCATTACTCTAATAAACGGGTCGTTCATGGACTGCGCGATGCTTATCTTCAAGGTGGACGCAGTGATGAGTCGGGTGGGAGCCCCGAGCCCCCCAGCTTTAGCCCGCGTGGTTTCCAGTTGGGCACATTGCTCCGCCGTAGCCGCGGCCGATACTCCGCATAGAGGCGAGTCTAGTCCCGGCGCATTGTGGGTGGTGCATTGTTTCGTCTCCGGTACTGGCCTAGAAAACCAGTAGCGATGAGCTGGCAGAGCGACTCGACCCAGGCATAGTATGGAGATGTTTCCGAGAGGGATAACCGCGTTCCGGAGGGAATCGAATAGCAATAGCCCAAGCGTGCATGTCGCCCGCATGGAGTGAGAATGAAGGCACACAGCCTAGGTGCCCCATCCGGGGATTTATCCTCCCGGTAAAAGTAAACGAAGTGAGGGATGGTATTCCACGCAGGGTTTACACTGCGCGCGATATTTTCTTTCCCGATTCTCGTCTCCTCCTCGACCCTTACACACCTATGCACTTACATGCACTACTCTGCCATGTCGGAACACTAGTCGGGAGCGTCGACCGTGTCCCGGCTGTGGCGGTGACCCGCTCGCCCAAAGATACCTGGAGGCGAGGATCCTCGCAAAACGACTCGTAGGTTGGCCCTGGCAATCACGCGCCGTCAAGGGAGAAACTCAGCCACCCACTTCACGCGATAAAAAATTACTACACTTACGGGAGTAATCACCATTGCAGTTAACACTCCAGGGAACACAAAATAATGAATAAATAAAATCTATTACTTTTCTCTGCTTCTCTTCAAACTCATCACCTGCCTATCATTCCACTTCTTTTCTTTGCTCCTCCTCTTTTCCACATTATTATTCTGTTGTTATTCTCATAGGTATTCCAGCTAATGTAGCAGGCTGGCAGGCAGGGGTCGCGCCAGCTCGAAAATGTGTAGCAGCGTAGGTCGTTCTGGGCATCAATTAATGTCCCTGCTGTGGCTCTGACCGAGAGATTCTAGGGTTCGATTCCCGACGGTGGAAGGATTTTCGAAACTGTACTCTAGAGAGCTAATAGGTCGAATTCAGCCGATGTCTGGAAGAGAATTCTAGCGGCCGGCTGCTCTTATCGGTAATTTTCTGGGGTTTCTCTGATCAATGCAAGGGGAATGCCGGAGCAGTACCCTAAAAAACGGGCCCCGGTCGGCGCGATCTTTCCTTCCTCTTCCTTGTATCCTCACACATACTTACCCTTATATGCACTACATTATCATATGCCGGGAGATGAGTAGGGAGCTTAGAGCTTGACCCGGCTGGGGCTGTGCTCCGATGGTGAGAGGATACATGATTACCTATGGTAGGTCGATGCATGATTTCGTCATCCAGTGGGGGAAGATCTCCGCTACCTCCAGTGTTAAAACGTGCACTACAGTTACGGGATTAATGACATTATATTGAAGCACGCGGAATCACTAATCAAACGAAAACGTAATGCCTGCATGTCAAGCGGGTTGCCTAGTAAAAGAATCGACAGTCGATAGCGAATCGCGGGGCTGAGCTATGCATTACCTTGGCTGTCGGTGAGTACTATGGCGAAGTTTCACGAGAAGTGAACGAGAAATAAGAATGTGCAGAATTCATGCCCGCCCTGCCCCACCACACTCCACCTTCGCTCTCGCCTACCCGCCCGCCCCTGCCGCCCTACGCTTTCCCTCCCTCGCCTCCTGCCCCCGCCACCTAACGCTCGCCTGCAGACATTTTCTAATAGTCGTATTCTTTCTTCTTATTCGCGTCTTCTCTTTCTTTCCTTCTTTCTTTCTTTCTTTCTTTCTTCTTTCTTTCTTTCTTCTTCTTTTTTGACCAGAGATATTGGATTTTGCCGATTTCACATTTTATTATAGGTACATGCAATCTCACAAGATAAAAATTCTGAGGGAAGTCTGCCGAATGAAACAGAAAGCAAAGAAGATGCAGAAAAAAGGTGAGTGAATTGCAACAAGAAGAGAAGATCATATAAAAGAAGTAGAACAGAGGTATTGATGGTGCAGAAGGTTAGGATGAGGAGGAGAGAGTGAAGGGGAGGAGATTAAAGAAGAGGTGGAGCAGCTGGAAAAACAGTTGGTAGATGAAGTTAATTGTAGCAGAGAAGAGGTGGAAAGGAAGAAGACAAGGGGAATAGGGTAGAAAAAGTTTTTATTCGTCCCATAATGTAATACGGAGTATTTGCTAGATCCTCAAAGGAAGGACTGATTAAAGCGTTAAACCGAGTGCAGAAAAAGCGGCTAAATTCAGGAATAAGAAACATGGGACAGTTGACATTTGGGAATCTTTAGTTACACGTAGGAAGTCATCACCACTGTGTCCTCTTGAATGCTTACTAAAGCAACGTCATGGAAATATATCAGTGAAAGACTTGAGTGCCATGTTTATTAAGTAGGGCAACCATTCGTACAATATAAAACGCAGTAAGCAAACTGATGTAGGAAAATTCAGCTATGTGAATAGGACATTGCTGAATGGAACAATTTACTCTATAAAGATGGTGTTGGCGACCCTTACCAGAAGCAATATATGAGATTGAGAGGTCGGTCGTCGTTCAGAACAAGAGAAAGGACTACGCTAATGTAGGTAAAGTGCGATGGCATGTCCTACGTGCCCTTAATATATTATTTACTGGTTACATGAAAAATGCAATGAAGTGAAGTAAGAGAGAGTACGAGTGATATGGGCACTTATCTTTTGTTAATATTCGTATGTATTGTTATTGTATTGTTTTTGGTATTTTTTTGTACACTTGCCTATTTGTTGTTTTTTAATTTCTTTTCGCCTTGTTTATGTGTATTGCTTACCTTTTAATATTTGTTTTATCATTTTGTTAATTTTTTATTTTTGTACTTTCTCTGTTGATTATTGCCAACCGAGAAGTACGCTCAATTGGCAGTAATGAATTAATACATAAGTAATAATTAGATAATAATAATAATAATAATAATAATAATAAGTAATAATATTGAAAAGGTACTAGAAGTCGATAAATTGCAAAGTAGAAGTCACAGAAGGAAGAGTTGTTTCCGGCTTGAACTATCTTTTGCATGCGGGCGCGCGTCGAAGCGTGAGCAGGTCTTGAAGGAGGAAGCGAGACATTATCTTCGCTCGCTCGCGAACGCCCCCCCACCCCGCATCTCCCGCCCTCCCCTGCACGCTCGCCCGACAGACAAGGTTGCGCAGGTGATTCCTTCGCTTGCAGACCACATCGGTTCAAGCACTGACACTGACATACCTGGCACTGGGCGTGGGGCATGGCTGAACCCCGTCCTCAGCCCGGCTCCAGCTCTCTTGTTGACCTCCTCACGGCCCCTCGTCTGAAATGCGGCTTGCTCCCTTTTATATTCCGCTCGCAGGAGGCAACCGGGCCCACTTAGTCTTCTGTCCGTAACCATCTCGGGCGACCTCCACTGCAGTTTATTAATAAATTCTCGCCGTGACCTCCGAACCCGGCAGACGAGCGACGCCCTCGATAAGAAAGGGCAATATTACGGCCGCGGGCAGATCGCCGACACACTGCAGCCGTGGGATTTCTGCGCGCGGA